AAAAAAAAAAAAAAAAAAAAAAGGAAATAGCTCCAATCCCTTTTCCCCCTTCCCCCAGAGAAGAGGAGGCGCGAGGCTATCGCTGCAGCAACCTGCCTGACAGAAGCTTTGGTGGATCACCTCAATGTGGGGTATGAAGCTCTTCCATCAACACCAGTTTTCCTTCAACCCACCCAAGTTTAGGCACTGCCAAGGTCTGGCCCTCAGACTGCTCTTGAAGGAGTGAGATGTCCCATTCATTTCCCTATCTTACCGCCACCACTCCATGGAGGGAGGCTTGAATCAGTTTTGACCCCTAGCACTGGGCAAGGGAGAAGCAGCTGCAGTGATCAAAGAAACAGTCAGATTTCCCTCTCCCCACATTAACATCCCTGATGCTTACAACTTGATGCCATCTGCCCACCTCCCTTTGTCCTTCCAAGTCCAGCTGTCACTTAGCAGGAGAGAGAGTACCCTCCTTCACCATAGCTTACCACCCTTTCCTCTACTTCCCACCCTCTGGCAAGTCTGGGAAGCAGCTGGCAGGAAAGAGATGGCACAGCTGGTGGGGGTGAGGGTAGAACTAATGCCAGGAACTATGACAGAGCCAGGGTGTCTCTTCCTTCTGGGTCTCCAGGGACCACCCCCTACCCCATCCCTAAACGAGGATGCCAGTAACAGCCAAAGATTTGGGAAGAAACAAAGAACATTGTCTTTGACCCTGAGTGACCCAGAACAATATAGACATGATGATTGATAATCCTTCCAGTCTGTTTGAGAAAGGAGGCTGTATAATGCCTTCACCCCAGGGCAAGTAGAATGACTTGGCTGTGAACCCAGAGTCTGAGTCATCCAAGTGAGCCATGCAGGGGCTGGGGTCATTTTTATGACTCATCTGGGGTTGGGGGGGTAGAGATTAGGGGAAAAGAAGGCTGTGGTTGGTGGCCTTCCCCCCAGGTTGCTCCCTTCACTCAGTGTGAATATAGGATCATGAGGTCAGTGGGAAAAACTGGGCTTTCAGGAAATCCCAGGGAAATCTGTTTAGCTCCTACCCAACCCTCTACAGTAGCCCAGCTGTCTCCCAAAGAGAAGAGGCAGGGTCTTTCCCCTTTCCTATCTCCCACATGGGCACTTCCTGGGCTCCGCTGTGACTGTCATTTGTGAAGTTGGCCCGGGCTTCTCCCTCTTTTTTTTTTTTTGCTAGAGGCCCCCCCACTTTCAGCTTAGAAACCAAAGCCAGATTAGAAAGGGTTTTGTGCTGCTGCCCACAGCTCTGATTCCCTGGAAAGGAAAACAAAGGCTCAGTCTATCTTAGCCCCTGTCAGGTGTCCTGCCCACTCTCTCAATCCCCCCAACTCCTTGTCCTCTCCTGCCCCCACACATTCCAGTGGGTGGGGGTACCGGATATGGACTCTCTTGGCTGACTAGAGTTTTAAGTGGGAAGTGAAAGATTTATCAGCCAATAAGGGAGAACAACTATTACAGGGGGTTGGGGAGCAAAAACGATTAATGGAGAGTTGGGGACACTAACCCCAAGGTAGCAATAGTAACTATAGCTAGCACCATGATTGAGGAGAAAAGAAAAACTGTTGTCTAGGGCAGAAATGAGAGAGAGAATGTGCGTGTTCGTTCATCTGTGTGGGCCAAAGGGAAGGGCTGGGAGAATGACCGAGAGCCAAGAAGAAACCCCTGAGGTGTCCTCTCTTGACCCAGGGGGTTTGCTCTCCCATCCCACCCCAGATTCAGGGAGGGGCCAATTTCCCTTCCCATCTGCTTGCACAGATCCCTGGGCTTCCAATCACTGCCAGATGTGTCTCTAATGCTGGATTTTTGCAGTTTTTCCACGCCTTCTTTTCCCTCCCAGGTTCTTCCTCAGGGATATCCCCCCAAGTTAATCCTCTCTTCCCCTACTCAGCTGCAGAAACCCCTTTTAGGGGTGGGAGAGGGTATGTTTCTAGTCAGCTCCTGGCATGGCTTTCTTGGGAATTTTGGGAGGGAGAGGATGGAGCTTGGCTCATTTGCATGTACTGGAAGTCATTTATATTATGTCCAAAAATGGCCAAAATCATAAGGTTCTCACCAGCCCTGACTCCTAGCTGACCTCCGCTGCTGCAATGGCCTGTTAGTCCTGGAGACCACCCCCCACTAGCTGGGTGAACTCCTTTCTCCTCCAACCTCCAGAGTGGCCCAGGCCTACATGAACCAGAGAAAGCTAGACCATGAGGTGAAGACCCTACAAGTCCAGGCTGCCCAGTTTGCCAAGCAGACAGGCCAGTGGATTGGGATGGTGGAGAACTTCAACCAGGCACTCAAGGTGGGCCACACTCCCTACATCACCCCATCCTAGGCCCCCGTTGACTGTTTCCAGTTGGGTCATTTCTGGGATTAAGGAGGAAGTAGGGATGGGCCCAGAAACCCCATCAATGGCCCCAGTGTCAGAGAAGCCACAGAAAGTAATAAAAGCACTTGGTGGGTCCAAGTAAAGCCTTTTCTGGGAGATAAGTGAAAAGCACCCCCAGCTTGGAAGCTATGCTCCATCCACCCTGATTCCTAGACTCCTACCTCCTCTCCCCCTTCCCAGGAGATCGGGGATGTGGAGAACTGGGCTCGGAGCATTGAGCTGGACATGCGCACCATTGCCACTGCACTGGAATATGTCTACAAAGGGCAGCTGCAATCTGCCTCCTCCTAGTACCTATGCCCCCCATCCCTGCTACCTTACCCACAGCGCAGGAAGGAGATTGACAGACCATGAATAAAACACAAGCCTCTATTTATATGTGGTGTGTTTCAAGGAGCTACTAACTCCAGTGTGGGGAGTAGGGGTGGAAGACAGGACAGACACCTTCTAGGTAGTGGGTGGAATTTGCTTCCTCTTACTATCCCAGCTCTCTTCTCCTTGGCCTGGTACAGGTGCCTATTGGGTAAACAGAGGGTGGGGGTTTCCCATACCTCCCCAGAGAAGGTCTTAGTAGCCCTTGCCCCAGGCTTCCTAGTTCAGAACCTGAGTTACCCACAGAGCAGAAATAAGAAAGGAAGCAGGCCCGCTTCCAGCTCTGGCTCTCTGCTGCTCCACGTGCTCATGGCCTCTCCCAGGCTAACACTAAGCAGTCATGAGTCTGAGCCAGGTGGGAGATTAATTCTTAGGGGCACTTTAGGGCTAAGAAGGGGGAGGAATGACAGGTGGAAGGCCACCAACAGAGAGGGGCAGCTGCCATCCTTGACATTACTGTCCTCCTGGGAGACCATGGCATAGGTGGTAGGCGCCCAGGCTAAGAATGACAGCCAAGGAGGGGCCTGGACAGATCTGGCCTCTGCCAAGCTTTGGCTTCATGCAGGCAGGCTTCAGCCTCCCTGGCTCCTCCTCAGCCCTCCACCCTCCCCAGCACACATGCACTTGAAATTCCTGGCACCCACATCCACCCACTCTGGACTTTGGCCTTTGCTGTAGCTAGTGTGGGAGCCTAGGAAGACTGGGAACAAAGTCTCTCAAACGAAAGAAAAGAAGCTGCAGACTTTGTAGTACCTGCCAGTCTTCCCCAGAGGAGGTGAGTGGGACCCTGGGGGCTGGGTGCTGTAAGAAGACTAGCTAGATATTGTACACATTAACAGACAAGGCTTTAGGCTTTTAACGTGCTCCTTCCGCGCTATGCCCTTCTATCCTCCACAGCTCAGAGGTGGGCCTGGTGGTGGCAATCTCACCTGGTAGGGGAGGAGACGTGTTCAGAGATGCAGTGGGATGCTCAGCATCACACAGCAAGTTCGGGAGCCCCCAAGACTAAAAGACAAGTCTCATGGCTCAGCTCCTATAGCTCAGCAGCTAGGGCGCCAGCCACATACACCAGAGCTGTCGGGTTCAAACCCAGCCTGGGCCTGCCAAACAACAATGACAACTACACACACACACACAAAAATTGCCCAGCGTTGTGGTGGGCACCTGTAGTCCCAGTTACTTGGGAGGCTAAGACTAGAGAATCGCTTAAGCCCAAGAGTTTGAAGTTGCTGTGAGCTATGATGCCATAGCACTCTACCGAGGGTGACAATAAAATTCTGTCTCAAGAAAAAAAAAAAAAATACAAGGTTTGTATCCCTGTATGTGGTTCCAAAAACAAGGCCCAGGTTACACTGAGTGGGTTTGGGTGTCCCTGGTCTTAGTGGGAGAGAAGGTACAACAGCAAGCAAGAAGGGGCCCTGCCCTCAGGTGGCAGGTCTACACACAGGGCCTGGCCCGGCCGATGTCAGTCATCAGCCATGGATACAGAGTCTGCCCACATCTTTGCTTTGCACAGCTGAGCCATAGTTTGGCAATTGTCTGCTAAGCAGATAATTTCTCAGTCTGCTCAGACTACTACAGCTAGGGAGGATATTAGGAGCAAGGGCTTGAGGGCCAAAGTAAATAGGACAAGTTTTCCTGCCCAGCCTAGGCTGCCACCTGCAGGTCACCTGGGCCCTGGCCATGTGGCTGCCTCTGCTGCTGGGTGCCTTGCTCTGGGCTGTGCTGTGGTTGCTCAGAGACCGGCAGAGCCTTCCTACCAGCAATGCCTTCATCTTCATCACCGGCTGTGACTCAGGCTTCGGGCGCCTTCTGGCACTGCAGCTGGACCAGAGGGGCTTCCGGGTCCTGGCCAGCTGCCTGACTCTCTCAGGGGCAGAGGACCTACAGCGAGTGGCCTCCTCCCGCCTCCATACCACCCTGCTGGATGTCACTGACCCCCAGAGTGTCCAGCGGGCAGCCAAGTGGGTGGAGACACACACTAGGGAGGCAGGTGAGTAAGGCGGAGCCTTGGGAACGTGGTGTGGGGAGTTCCTGACCACCACAGTGACCCCGGGAGTCACTTGCAAGGGCTGCAGGAAGCTAGAGGGACGAGTTGGGGAGCAGCAGTGTTCAGATGCTCCCAGGAAGAAAAGAAAAGTGCCTCACCCACCCCTGATGTCGTTCTCATCTCCCCACAGGGCTTTTTGGTCTGGTGAATAACGCTGGTGTGGCTGGTATCATCGGGCCCACACCATGGCTAACACAGGACGATTTTCGTTGCGTGCTGAATGTGAACACGTTGGGTCCCATTGGGATCACCCTTGCCCTGCTACCTCTGTTGCAGCAGGCACGAGGCCGGGTGATCAACATTACCAGCGTCCTGGGTCGCCTGGCAGCCAATGGTGGGGGCTATTGTGTCTCCAAGTTTGGCTTGGAGGCCTTCTCGGACAGCCTGAGGTGAGCAGTACAGGGCTTCAGGCTCCAAGCTCAAGGGCAGCCTACTTAACAAAGTATTGCCTGGTATGGGCTAGCAGAGATGATGAAGACACAGTATAGTTGAATATTTAAGAAGAGATATTTTAGAGCTGGACCATGGGTTCAAAAATCCCAGGCTTCTCTCATGAGAGCATTGTGACCTTAAGTAGATTACCTTTTTTTTTTTTTTTTTTTGAGAGGTAGGGGAGGAGACATGTTCAGAGATGCAGTGGGAATCTCAGCATCACACAGCAAGTTTGGAAGCCCCTGGTGTCACTTTGTCACCCCTGGCGGAGTGCCATAGTGTCATAGCTCACAGCAACCTCCCGAGTAGCTGGGACTATAAGTGCCTGCCATAGCACCTGGCTCAAGCTGGTCTCGAACTCATGAGTTTAGGCAATCTGCCCACCTCAGCCTCCCAGAGTGCTAGGATCATAGGTACCCAGCATTTTTTTTTTTTTTTTTTTTTTTTTTGTGATAAGTCTCCCTTTGTCACCCTGGGTAGAATGCTATGGCATCAGCTCACAACAACCTCAAACTCCCAGGCTCAAGTGATCCTCTTGCCTCAGCTTCCTGAGTAGTAGGCACCTGCCATGATGCCTGGCTAGTTTTTCTATTTTTTCTTCTTTTAGTTTTTGGCCGGGGCTGGGTTCGAACCCGCCACCTCCAGTATATGGGGCCGGCGCCCTACTCCTTTGAGCCACAGGTGCCACCCTAGTTTTTCTATTTTAGGTAGAAATGGGGTCTGGCTCTTGCTCAGGCTAGTCTTGAACTGAACTCAATGGATACTCCTGCTTCAGCCTCCCAGAGTGACAGGATTACAGGCATGAGCCACCATGCCCAGCCCATTTATTTACCTGGTTTTTTTTTTGTTTGTTTGCTTTGCAGGTTTTTTTTTTTTTTGACCGGGGCCAGGTTTGAACCCGCCACCTCTGGTATATGGGGCTGGCGCCCAACTCCTTTGAGCCACAGGCACCACTCTATTTACCTGTTTTTAACTCACCTGTTAAATCAGGATGAGAAAACCTACCTCATGGGTGTAGTGAGGGAAATAAGGTACACATAAGGACCCACAGTGCCTGGCATATAATAAATGCTAACAAAGTGTGCTATCATGATTATTAGAAGAGAAAAAAAACAAACTACTATTAATGATACTATATTACACTGACCTAGTAACTTTACTACTAATATAATTAATAGTAGTAATATAATAAACTACTATTTCCTCATTTAATTCTCCCAACAGGGTAGGTCTTAATACACAACTAGTCAGGGGAAGCACTGGGAGTTACCCCCAAGTCTGCTTACTGGGAGAACCTAGTCATTATCTTCTTTTGCCCTGCTTTGTACAAGAATTTTCACAGTTCCATGGGAATACAAAGGAGACTTGATGATGACAACAGGAACAGGGCCTGAATTTCAAGCACAAGTTCAAGTTGCCCAAGTTGAACCCACTTTCCAAGGAAGCCTGCTCTCATCACCATCACTCAGCAAATAATTTCAATGTCTGCCTTTGTCCCTATCCCTTAGTCCTTAATTTTACAGTTGACATCATGAAACACATACTTCACACTTGGATTTCTACATCTGTGCCGGGACAATAGGATATATCTCCACTTTCTTTACCCTCCAGCAAGTACCAGTCTATACCCTTTGCATCCAGCACTCAGTGCTCAATTCTGTGTTTTGGGAACTAGGATATGGGGTTCCTCTAGATCAGGAATTGGCAAACTCTAATTCTAAGGCTGGATCCAGCCAACCACCTCCAGGCTAACAATGGTTTTTACATTTTTTAATGGCTACATTGTAAGTGGTTATGGAAGTATTTAATATCATTAATTTTGTTTCTTGGCCAGCTAAAATATTTACTATTTGGCCCCCTAAAGTTTGCTGACCCCCACTATAGATCATAGAAAATATAAAGGAAAACAAACCTCTAAAATATCTCCCTCCTTCTGCTCCCTTGCCCCTTGTCCCAGGACAGCAGGAATCTCCCTTACTGTCAGGACTCTTGTCCCTGTGGTAACTTTCTCATCTTAGCTACCCCACCCATGTTCCTGAAAGTCCCCTCTCTTAGGGCAAGAAGCAACCAACTTCCCTCTGCCCTGACTCCAGGAGGGACGTGGCTCCTTTTGGGGTACGAGTCTGCATTGTGGAGCCTGGCTTCTTCCGAACCCCTGTGACCAACGTGGAGAGTTTGGAGAAGGCCTTGCAGGCCTGCTGGGCACAGCTACCTCCAGCCACACAGGGCTGCTATGGGGAGGCCTTCCTTACCAAATGTGAGTAGCTGGACCCATGTTCAGGGGTACATGAAGGGAAACAAGTAACAGAAAGGCCAGTCCTACATCAGCCTGCTGGGAGGTGGGTACAAATGGGATGCCATGGCAGAGTGCCCCCTGCCCATACCCCACATTAGGGAGGGGTCTGAGGACACCCCTCACTTCTGCTGGGCAACAAGCCTTAAGATGGGCTGGAGGGGGAAGGGAAAGTGATTGCATCCATCCTCTGGACTACAGACCTGAAAGTGCAAAAGCGCATCATGAATCTGATCTGTGACCCAGACCTAACCAAGGTGAGCAAGTGCGTGGAGCATGCACTGACTGCACGGCACCCCAGAACCCGCTACAGCCCAGGCTGGGACGCCAAGTTGCTCTGGTTGCCTGCCTCCTACCTGCCAGCCAGCCTGGTGGATGCTGTGCTCACCTGGGTCCTTCCCAAGCCTGCCCAAGCAGTCTACTGAACCCAGCCTTCCAGAAATAGATTATTTTTCAAAGGCAAGGACTTTATTTCTGTCCCAAACCTGGCACTCACTGCCTGGTGCCTGCCACAAAATAGGCACTCAATAAAAGTGTGTTGTAGGGCAGCACCTGTGGCTCAGTGGGTAGGGTGCCGGCTCCAGATACCAAGGGTGGCGGGTTCGTACCTGGCCCCAGCCAAACTGCAACAAAAAAATAGCTGGGGCGTTGTGGCGGGCGCCATGGCACTCTAAAGAGGGTGATAAAGTGAGACTCTATCTCTAAAAAATAAAAATAAAAGTGTATTGTTTAAATTAAAAAAAAAAAAAGAGGGCGGTTACAAAGTAAAATCCCCAGGGGGAGAGAGCCCATTTAACTACCCTAAGTTGACTTACTTGTCCAAGGTCTCTAGAGGGTGATAAAGTGAGACTCTATCTCTAAAAAATAAAAATAAAAGTGTATTGTTTAAATTAAAAAAAAAAAAAGAGGGCGGTTACAAAGTAAAGTCCCCAGGGGGAGAGAGCCCATTTAACTACCCTAAGTTGACTTACTTGTCCAAGGTCTCTAGCCTGTTTAACGCCTGCAAAACACCTAGCACCCACGGGTGGCAGCGGGGGGGCGCACAAGGGAAATGTCTTGCATCTATGACTGATCTCTGGAGCTGCACCTCCAGCAGCGGCCACCAGAGGGCACGTCTGGACCTTTCCCTTACTTTTCTACGTGGAGCAAGGTTCCAATTCAGCGTTTGTACTGGGAATAGCCCTTATTTTTCTAGGGACAGGAAGGAAAGCAATGAAAGAGAGGTCAGGGCCAGGCTGGGTGGTTTCCATGGCAGAAAAGCCAAAATTCATCTAAATTCCTAATATGCAAGTCAGGAAGAAAGAACAGTGGGCACTTAGGTGTCACCTTGAAAGGAGCCAGATCCCCTTAAGGGTAAGCCAGGGAGGCAGTTGCTGGGCCCTTAGAGGTATGCAGAAAGTCAAGGAGAAGATGTCCAAGGCAGATATGGGTTGGACTGTCCCAGGTAGGACCTTTGTGGGAAATCACTAACACGTGGAGCAGCTGGCTTCAAGTGCTGAGCCTGGCAACACAAGACTGGAGCACAGGAAGAGCCATCACTTCCTCTGGGTCCCTACTTCTCCCACTGCCACAGCCCCACCAACACCTTCAAGAAAATCAAACACCCCCTACCAAAAAAATAGGGCTGCCTTTCCCAGAGGTACACAGACCAAGGTCTCAGAGGACAGGAAACATGGGTAAGAAGGGAGGAACAAATGTCACTCTTTAAGACAAAATCAGACCATCTCTCTTTTTGGTCTGAAAAAATCTGTTTAATTGAAAAACCTGGAGAATGATATTACTCTACTCCCCTAGATGAGGGAGCTAAAGAGACCAGATCCCCTACATTACTTCATAGCCACTTCGGATACTCTTCACAAGGCAGCAGGCAAAGACAATTCCCAAAACCTGGAAGGAAGGATGGAGAGGGGAGCAGAGTCAAAGGGCAGGCTACCTGGGATTCATACAAGACACCCCAGCACACCATCCCCAGGCTAGCACATCCTGCTCAGCACCCTACTCCCCTGACACGCTGGACTGACTCCCCGCCCCTGCCCAGGGTGTTTCTCACCTCTACAAAAGCAATGCCCAGGGCGACTGCAGCCACCACCAGTATGTTTTTCCTCAGCCAGCCCCCGATCTTCTCCACGCAGCCCTAAAGGGTGGTAGGCACATGAAGCAAGAGCACTGTCAGAAGCTCCCCACCCACCTCTGCTGCTCCTCTTCCCTGCCCTTTCTACCTTTAATTCCACCCCATTCCTGACCTGTCCACCTCTACCCCAGGTCCCTCGCCTCCTGAAACATTTTCCAGGTTTCCTAAGTTCCATACTATGTTTCCTCCCTACCTCTGTATAGATCTCCTTGAGATTACTCCCACAGCCCACAGTGACATTGACACAGCAGGAGTCAGGGACACGGATCTTGGCCATGGAAGGAATGCTCTCCCAGTCTGTGTAGTTGGCAGCCCCACAGCACTTAAACTAGGGAAGGGAACAGATACGGGAAGAAGGTTGTTAAACAAACCTCCACCTTCAATGTAGAGATGACAATTCTCTTCCCCACTACCCCTGCTCCCAGCAACCCCACTCACCTCTTCCTGCAGCCTGTCCACAACTAAAGCTGTACGGTTGTCTTTCAGGTAATTCTCTATATCCTGCTTGAAGTCCTTATTAAACTCTGTTATCACCTGAGAGTAGGGAGAGACATAGTTGAGGTCAGAATTCAGGCACCTGGGTTCCACACCAGGCTGAGGAAGGGTCCTCCCCTTATGCCCTGCTTACCTTATTTTTAAACACATAGCCAGCAATGGCTGCGGCCACCTCCACCAGGAGGATAAGAGATAAGAAGATGGCAAACTGCAGAAGCAAAGGACAGGTATCAGGGTTGTAGTCTGTGGACAAAAGGGGCTTTCTCTAGCACAGCCAGGCCCTGGGCCACTCAAAAAGGTCTTCTGCACATACCCTCATGCACCCCAACCACAGAATTGCCCTCCAGCAGTCCCAGGCACTCATGCTGGTCCCACATTCCACTCACTGTGATCATGAGACAGTAGTTCTCCTTGCAGGCCCCACAGCAGCCCACAAATGCCACCAGGAAAAGAAAGGCACCCACTGTGATGATGACCACAGGCACCAGGAAGCCAGGGCTAGTCCTATGGGTGATGGTCTGATTCAAGACAAGCTGGGCCCCTACACCAACAGCAATCAGTCCCAGTGCACAGGCCTAAAAGGAGGGCAGGTGAGATTTAGGGCAAGTAAGGGTTACACCTTACCCACAACCCAGCAGTCCTCCACAGGGGAGGGCAGGGAGTGTACCCAGGACAGACTTGACCCCATCCAGGAGACAGATTCTCACACCTCCTCCTGGAAACTTTTGACTGCGGGGTTGGGAGATGGACCATCTTTGCCCCCTGGTGAAGGTTGGTGAGGTGTTCAATGCACTCAGGGAGAAGAGAATCCAGGCCATGCCTTCCTTCAAGCAGCTCTTCAACCAGGGGGATGACCAAATGCAGAAAGAGAATTCCTAGAAAGCCCTGACCCCACGGTGTACACTGACCTAAAATAATGCTTGCTATGGGCCTCCTGTGTTCCCAGATCAATTCTCTTCCAGAACTGCCTCCTAGCTATCCTCCAGTGCTTACCCCACAAGCATCAGCTGTGACCAAGGTTCCTCAGGCCAGCTAGGCCAGGCAGGAGGAAAGGGAGTTAAGAATGGTAGCCTCTCAAGCCAGGAGCCCAGGGCAAGAGCTGAGGTGGGTAGAACCCTTCCTTTTCCCCAGGCAGGGGAGTGGAGAGGTATGAGGGGGTGGAGGAGGGAGGAGAGAGGAGAAAGGAGGAAAGCCCTGCGGAGATAGCATCGGGCCGTTGGCTGGTTGCCCCACTACCCCTATCACAAGTGGTTGGGTCACCAGACAGGAAGGGTCAGGAGGGGTGGGGAGTGGAAGGTGCTGCACACCCACGATGGTCATTCTTGGTCGAAACAAGCCCTTGGGGTCCACTTAGGCCGGAGGAAGATGTGGCCACACTGTCTTTCCCGGGGCTTTCCGTCTACATCTGGTCTCCAGCTGCCTTCATTCTTGGTTCCTCAGCCCTCACCACTCCGGAGCCACGTCTCCCCGCACCCTGCCAGTGCGCCCCCATCACACCCTCTCCCCACTTACGCAAAAGACCAGCAGCAGAATGTAGAGCAAGAACTTGACACATTTCATCCCTCCTTCCACCGCCATGGCTGCCGGGCCTGGGGCGCGGGGAAGGGCGGGGGCATCAGGCCCGGCCAAGGAGAGCCTCGCTTCCGGCCTTCCCAGTCCGGCCCCGACTCCGGGCCCCTCCCACCCGGATACCGCGGTCAGATCCACGTCTCCCAGCCCCCTCGCTCCCGGCCGGGCGGAGTGGGGCGAGGCCGCCCAGAGGGCTCCGCGGGGGCTGGAGCCCGAGCCGACCCTCTGCCCGCCGGCCCCTGGCCCCCAAACACCCGCTCCCCGCCCAGCCCGACCCTATCCCCGCTACCCGCCTTCTCCCAGGCGCTGACCTCCCACGCCCCGAAAACTTGCGGCCGACACCCCCACCACACCCTGCCCGGGCTTCTGGAACTTCCAAGCAAAGTTGCTCGAGGCCCTCGAGAGCGGCTGGAGAGCGCGGCGCGGGTCTTGCGGACCAGGACCGGCCCCTGGGGAAGGGAACTGCCGGCGGCCAGACCCCGCGCCCTTGTCCCCGCGGACCGCGGCCTCACCTGCGCTCCCCGAGGCTGTGCGCTCCTCTCCCGCCGCGGCCCAGGGGCTCTCTGGACGCGCCCGCTCCCGCCCCGCCTCCCGGCGGCCCCGCCCCGGGCTCCGGCCGCAGTCCGCTCCCACTGCCTCCCCCGCCGGGCGGCCCCAGCCTCCCTCATGTGACCCGGGAACAGCTGCGGCCTGAGTCACTGAGCCCCCCGCCCGGGCAGGGCCACGTGGCCGCTCCCTGAAGACGGCGCCCACACCCGCGGAGGGAAGGCGCCTGGGGCCCCTTTGTCGCCCCCGCCTCAGGGCCAATTCCGGGTAGGAGAGCGGGACAGAGCGCCGCTGGTTCTCCCTGGTTCAGGGAAGCGGAGGGGGCGGCTGAGAGCCAAAGCGGGGACGACCCAGTGTCACCTCCAAGCGGCCGGGAGGCAGAGCTGAAACCAAGTGCCTAAGCACCTCCTCCTTCACCTGGAGCACACCTCCCACCTCTGACTCCAACTCAGTTCAAGTCCCCACCCCCATCCCCGACTCTGGACGAAAGCTGTGGACTGCCTGGGATCGGGTGGGGCTAGAACAAACACTTGCAGAAAGTCCCTGATCTCACATCCTGGGAACCTCCCGACAGGCTAGAGTAGGGGTTCCCGGCCCCCTTCTGTTAGCACACTTCTCCATTTTCCAGGGCTCCTAGTCAGTCATGGCACCCTTTCGGGTCTCTCCCTTTGGGAGAGGATTGACAAGGTCTGTGCGTTCATCACTCCTGGGTCAGCTCATGATGAAGACGTGGGGCAAGACAGGCCAGGCCTGTATTCCCTGGATTTCCCCCCTCTCATCGTAGCAGACAGCCAGAGTCTCACTATGTGGCCTTCTATAGAGTGCTGTGGCGTCACAGCTCACAGCCACCTCAAACTCTTGGGCTTAAGCAATTTCTCTTGCCTCAGCCTCCCAAGTAGCTGAGACTACAGGCGCCCACCACAATGCCTGGCCATTTTTTGGTTGTAATTGTCATTGTTGTTTGGCAGGCCTGGGCTGGGTTCCAACCCACCAGCTCTAGTGTATGTGGCTGGCACCATAGCCAGTAAACTATAAGCCCTGAACCAGCCAGCTCTTCTCATCCCTAAAGAAAAAGCCAGGTAAGGGCTGACAGGGCAGCTCTCAGGCTGCCTCTTGCCCTTGAGTGCTGCTGGTGGTCCTAGGAAAAGCTAGCGTGAACAGGCCAAAGTTAAGACCAGCCATCACACTGATATCCCCAGCCTGGTCCCCACTCTTATGTTCTCAAGTGGTCTTGCCTCAAGAGCCACTTATGAGTCTTGGTGTATGTGTGTACACAGAGTTGGAAGGCAATTATAAGAGAAAAAGGAGGTAGATGTAGGCTGGGCTGAAAACCAGCTTCCAGTGGGACGCATCAAGCCCATTCCCGACCTTGCTCCCTCTTACCGCAGCAGGCTGTAGGAGGAGCAAAGATGCTGAAACAGAAGTATTCAGTGCTGCCGCTAGATGCCAGGCATGTGCCAGGCACATGGCCAGCAGAGAAGAACACAGTGGCCCAGCCCTCTGCCAGCAGGCAGAACCAAGTTCTGTCCACACTGTGAAGAAAAGCAGAGCCTCTGGTGGCAGCTGGATAAGCTCAGAGGAACAGTGGGAGGAAAATGGGTTTCTCAGAGGTGGGTCGTCCTCTCCAAAGTGACCTTGGAAAATAAAGGAATAAAGGGGCAAGCTCTCAGTTTCAGGGACTGTAAAAAAGGAACTTTTTTTTTTTTTTTTTTTTTTTTGAGAGACAGAGTCTCTATTGGCCCAGGCTGGAGTGGTATCATCATAGCTCACTGTAACCTCATACTCCTGGGCTCCTGAGTAGCTGGAACCACAGGTGTGAGCCACCATGCCTGGCTAATTTTTTTTTTTTTGAGACAGAGTCTTACTTTGTCACCCTCGGTAGAGTGCCATGGCGTCACAGCTCACAGCAACCTCTAACTCTTGGGTGTACACAATTCTCTTGTCTCAGCCTCCCAAGTAGCTGGGACTATAGGCCCCTGCCACAAAATTTTTTTTGTTGCAGATGTCATTGTTGTTTAGCAGGCCCAGGGCAGGTTCAAACCCACTGTCCCCGGTGTATGTGGCTGGCGCCCTAACCACTGAGCTACGGGCACTGAGCCCTAATTTTTTATTTTTATTTTTTATATATTTTTAGAAACAGGATCTCTGATATGTTGCCCAACCTTGTCTTTTTTTTTTTTTTTTTTTTTTTGAGACAGAGCCTCAAGCTATCCCCCTGGTTACAGTGCTGTGGCATCACAGCTCATAGCAACCACCTCCAACTGCTGGGCTCAAGCAAATCTCCTGCCTCCGCCTCACAAGTAGCTGGGACCACTGATGCCCATCACAACGCCTGGCTATTTTTTTTTTTTTTTGGTTGCAGCCGTCATTGTTGTTTGGCAGGCCCGGGCTGGATTCGAACCTGCCACCTTAGATGTATGTGGCTGGCGCCTTAGCCACTTGAGCCACAGGTGCCAAGCCAACCTTGTCTTGAACTCCTGGCCTCCAGTGATCCCACCTTAGCCTCCCAAAGTACTGGGTTTACTGAAAGCACTTTTAAAAGTACGTGGCAGGCTGAAGTTGGGTGGCTCAAAAGGCTGGGGAAGGATGTAGTGAAGGAGGGTGGAAGTTGATCTGAAGATCAGCACTCAGAGACATGGGCTCCCATCCAAAATGCTTTGGGAGGCTGAGGCAGGAGGATCACTTGAACCTAGGAGTTCAAGATTCAGAACTTGAACTGTATTCAAGATGTGATAATGCACCTGTACTGCAGCCTGGACAAAAAAGTGAAACACTGTCTAAAAAAAAACAAAAAAAGGTCGAGAGACTTTAGATATATGACAAGTGAAATGCTTGGTCCTTGTTTGAATCTTTGACATTTTAGAAACAACAGGGAAAATATGAATATGGGCTGAGAATTAGACATGAAAAAATTACTTTGCTAGCTGTGATAACAATATGATGAAGTAGGGAAATTTCTCTATTTTTTTGAAGATGTGTAGTAAAATATTGAAGGGTAAAGCATTTTGTCTGTAATTCCCCTTGAAATACTTTGCAAAATAATAGATGAAGCAAGGTAATAGGACCATTGAGGACCTAGAAAGCTATGTTGGGTGTGTTCTAAAGGCAATGGGGAATGGTGGAAAGTTTTGAAGAATGTGATACTATTCTTGGGTTTGGTCCTAAATTGCAATTAGAAAGAATGAATGCCAGGTACCCCGGAAGATGAGTGAGATATCATTGCCGTGGTGCAAGGGAAAGATGATGAGGGCCATCATCTGGGCAACAGGGAAAGAGGAGGTGGCCACCCATGGCAGGAAACACACACAAGGGGCAGGTGAAAACTTCACACATACAGGTGAAGATGTCCTACTGGGGATTGGGGGTGTGAAACTCAGGAGAGGAATCATACTAGAGATAAAGGGGATGTCTAAAACCATGGATGGAGCCAGGTTGGTTGGCTCACACCTCTAATCCCAGCACTCTGGGAAGCCAAGGTGGGTGGATTATTTGAGTTCAGGAGTTGGAGACCAGCCTGAGCAAGAGTGAAACTCGGGAGGCGCCTGTGGCTCAGTGAGTAAAGCGCCGGCCCCATATACCGAGGGTGGCGGGTTCAAACCCAGCCCCGGCCAAACTGCAACAAAAAATAGCCGGGCGTTGTGGCGGGCACCTGTAGTCCCAGCTACTTGGGAGGCTGAGGCAGAAGAATTGCCTAAGCCCAGGAGTTGGAGGTTGCTGGAGCAACTCCACTGCACTCTACCGAGGGCGAAAAAGTGAGACTCTGTCTCTACAAAAAAAAAAAGAGTGAAACCCCATCTCTACTAAAAAATTAAAAAACTAGCTGGGCATTGTGGTGGGTGCCTGTAGTCCCAGCTACTTGGGAGGCCAAGGCAAGAGGATCCCTTGAGCCCAAGAGTTTCAGGTTGCTGTGAGCTAGGATGCCACTGCACTTTACCCAGGGTGACAGAGTGAGACTGTCTTAAAAAAAAAAAAAAAAACTAAATCCGGGCAGCACCTGTGGCTCAAAGAAGTAGGGCACCAGCCCCATATGCTGGAGGTGGTGGGTTCAGCCCCAGCCCCAGCCAAAAACTGTAAAAAATAAAAGGGAAATCCGTGGATGGGTGAGTGCCAGAGCAAGGGAAGAAAACAGAGAGAGCCACAGGGAGCCCTTATGTTTAAGGAAGGGAGAGTAGGGGTGTAGCCAGTAAAGGGCTGAAAGAGAAAGGCCCTTGGAAAGCTGGGCCTCTGAACTATGCCAGGCACTCTGCACGGGTATTATACCCACTAGCTTAAGGTTTAACCCGTGACATTGGTATTATTTTTCCTGTTTTAAAGTAAACTAAAACTTGGAGACAACAGAGTAACGTTATTCTCAGAGTCCAACCCAGTGAAAGGCAGTCAGGATTTGAATCCAGATCTCTGGGGGTTCCAAAGTCTTTTTTTCCCCTCACTCTAGAAGGCCAAGAGGAAAAAGCACTTCAAGACAGAAGGCGGGAGCAGTGGCCAGAAATGTCAAATAGTGTCTGATCTTACTTCTCAACTTAAGTGAGAAGCAAGAGGAGGCCACTGATGGGGTGACTTTCTCCAGAGCAGTGTCAGGAGCACGAGGCAGGTGAGGAGTGAGGGTAGAAGACAGAGACATCAGATGGGTTGGGGGTCTGAGGGGAAGGCCTGGAGAAGGAGACCCTCCTAGAGGAACACCAGGGAAAAGGCTAAAAGCAAGCTGTGGCAAATGTCAGGCGGTGGCAGCAACTTGGTAAAGCAATGGAGAGAGAAAGGATAGGGCCAGGGAGACCCAGAGAAGAAGCCCATGCAGAGCTGGAAGGAGGAGGTCAGGGAGAGGGCAGGAGAAGACCATTCATTCTGAGTCAAATGCATACCCATGGAGTAAAATGGTGACTGCCAGAGGTAGGGGTGTGGGGCATCAGCAGTGGGTGTTTAACGGGTACAGTAGGCTGGCCAAAGGGGATCATGACTGTAATCCTAGCACTTTGGGAGAGTGAAATGGGTGGATTGCCCTGAGCTCACAGGTTCAAGACCAGCCTGAGCAAGAGCAAGACCCTGTCTCTAAAAAATAGCTGGACATTGTGGTGGATGCCTGTAGTTCCAGCTATTTGGGAGGCTGAGGCAAGAGAATCGCTTGAGCCCAAGAGCTG